ATCAGAACAGAGCAAGGGAACACTGCATGGTTCAAAATTGGGAAGGGTATATGCCAGGGATGTGTCCTATCTCCCTATCTTTTTAGTGTTACCAGTAAGCCAATTGTTAAGTGTTCTGAGTCAAGTATAACTCATAGCAACCAATGAATAACACACCTGAACACAAATTAGCACATACTCTGAGTAGCTCCCCCAATACAATGAACTGATAGGTGTTGTAACTCTTAACAGCAAACCCTAAAAATTATTGTTGTTGTATACCATTGAGTCAGAACCAATGCATAGCTGACCCTCCGGTAGGTTTTCAGAGGCAATTAATTGCATGAGAGGAGATTACCCATTCTTCTCCTATGCAGCAGCTGGTGGATTTGAACCTCATGCATTTGGATTGCAACAGGATTGCACTGCAGCTTCTTGCCACTAGGCCACCAAAGCTTCCTCCTAAAGATAATCAGGCACACAAATATCATGGTGCAGGACAGCCTTCTCTGGCCCCAGTTGACCCCACCTTTCTCGCTTTGGGCCCAAGGGCTTTACACCAAGCACCTTTACTAAAGATCCAGCTGAGCCCATGCCATAGTATTCTCCTCCCTTGACACCATCCATCTGACCACAGTTTGGAGATTTCAAAACTATCCTTTGAAATTCCTCTCACTCATACTTGGTGTTGGACATCAGCACCATTTTTCTTTGTATTGTCAATTCTCCCTATGTTTTGATTTTGTTATGTTTTAAGGTTAGGCAGTTGTTAGATGACATCAAGTTTACAACTTGTAGTGATCCTGTGAACAACAGATCTGAATCTTCCTCTAACGTTGCTTCTAAAGCGGCATAAAAGAGAAGTGTGAAATGAAATGATTCAACTGCATAAATATTTCTTTGATATTTACCATTTGACAGACATGCAAAATACGGAGTTTGGTAAAACCAGGACTTGCCCCCACAAGTTCATAGACTGGATGGAATAGCTCATGTACAGTTTGCATGCAGTGTGGAAACTGCCATAAAAATCTCTGCACATTGGAAGAGAGCACTCTGAACGACGGTAGATGTCAGGGCGTCCGCGAGGTTTTAAGAAGAACTCAGTCTGGATGTTCTAAGTCTAGGCGGACTTCAGGGTTTGGAGGCTTTGACTTACAGATAAAAATTAAAAACTAATTGCCAAAGATTTACATATAAGCATTGTAATAGTTTATCACACCAACTAAAACAAATAAACCATGAGTAGTGAAAAAACAAACAAAACCCACCAAACTCATTGCCACAGAGTAAGGAGTCAGAATTGAACCCCCTGGCAGTTTTCCACCAGCTGTAAATCGCAAGGGAGGAGATTGCACTCTTTCTCTGGTAGATTTGAAGCAACAGAGAGACATCACCTTCGGGTTAGCCGTGAGGGAAGGCCGAATTCGAACCGTATGTCCCTGTTTGGTGGACCTACAAATTTGACTTGACAACCCACTTAGGAATGGATCTATCGATCAGCTGGAAACACTGTACAAACAGGAGTTCCACATGGGAGAGTGCTGTTAGCAGAGGGAACATGTGCCAGTACACAGAAAGCGTGAAGCCTTATCAAAATTGTATAGAGTAGAAGATGAACAAAGTCAAGAAGATGAACAGCACAAAACAACTCCCAAGGCCGATAGGGAAAAACACATCCCTGTTAACGCTGATGTCATCCGTTCTTGCAAAGATAAAAAACAGCATTCACCATAGTTCAGAATGAGCTGGCAGTCTGGCGGCCAAGTCCGATGGGACTGAAAGTTTCCATAGACCTGGTGGAGGTCCTGCCAAACTTGTTGACAGCAAGGCACCACTAAAGACATGCTTCTCTCCACAGCATATTTCTCTCCTTTCAGACTTGTTTCCTAGGCAAGCACAAAAGGAAGGGAATAAAATATTCGAATATTGAATTGGATCGACCACACTGATGTTGCTGACAAAACGACGAGAGCGCGTGCTGACTGGTTTATGGGCACTCGCAGGCTGTGATTTGAGCCCCTCTCTCTGTGAGGAGCGCTGGAATCAGTCCTGCTCCCAGCGCGCTAGCTGAGGGTCGCACCACGGCTTCCCTCCGCCTTCAAACAAAACTGAGCCCCCACCCCTCCTGTAGTTGCAAAGTTTCGGTTGCGCAGTGGGAGCTCTAGACAAAGATCCCAGGAAGTGGTGGCGTTGAGAAGAAGGCGGTAACAAGCTCCAGGCTCCGCGCATGCGCCTCAGCCCACTGGGACCTCCGAGTCTGTAGGGGGCGATAACTCATCGCTAGCGCTTTCGAATCCTCTCTCCTCGAGAGCTGCTTCCGGGTTGGAGGTTAGACGGCCCGTCGTGGAGAGTGCAATGGTGCAGCTTCGGTCCCGTGCATCCCGCACCCCGGTGTCGGCCGAGGCGATGGTGGATGAAGACCAGCTAGCCTCGGAGGAGGAGGCGGAGCACGGACTGCTGCTGGGACAGCCCAGTAGCGGCGCCGCCGCCGAGCCCCTGGAGGAGTACGAGGACGGGGATGACGAGTTTGACGACGATGCCCCGGAGGAGCTGACTTTCGCGAGTGCCCAGGCGGAGGCGAGAGAGGAGGAACGACGAGTGCGGGAGACCGCGCGCAGGTTCGGAGGCCGCGGCCGGACCCCAGTCCCGGTCCTGCCCTTCCCCGCTGGGGGGGACTCGCTGGGGTGACTTGTCCTCTCTTGCAGGGATAAAACTCTCCTCAAGGAGAAGCGGAAACGGCGCGAGGAGCTGTTCATTGAACAGAAGGTTGGTTAGAGGGTCGGAGACATCGGTGCTTGAGGACGACTTCCCCGTTTTGCGCCGTTCGCGGGCCAGCGTCTGTCCAGATGCAGATCACGGTGGTGGGAGGCTTGTGCCTTTACAATCGCGGGGATAGATGCTCAGTTCTGAGGCACCCTGTCATTTAGTTCTCCGTGAAGCCGTTTACCTGAAACGAGCTTCCTGCTGCCAGGCCTACTCCCCACGGAAATGTCAACGGCAGAAAGATTCTTAATGAACAGGGTGGATCTTTTTCCTGTTTCATCAAATCTTGTGGGAAATTAGTAATAGGTTCAGATCTTTCAAAGATTTCATGGGTCTAATCTTTACCTTATTGATACTGGGGATAGTAATTGGCTTAGGGGAGCTCTGGTGGCCTGGAGGCCACGCTGTCAGCCCAAAAGCATGCGATTTGAACCCAGCAGCTTTTCTGCGGGAGAAGGGGCCAGGGCAGTCTCCCTGGGATTTACTTCCTCTGATAACCCGTAAGGGGGTCATCACGACTGGCCTGTTTGTAATATATGTCGTCTAAGAAGCAATTCCTGACATACTGTTATGGGCCTTTTATTGACTTTTAAATCTCTTTCCTTCAAGAAAAGAAAACTCCTTCCAGATGCCATTCTAGAGAAGTTAACTGCCCAAACTCCTAAGTAAGTAATGGGTATCATTCTAATACTCATGTACATATAGAGGGATCACACTGGTACATTTATTTGAATCCATGCAGTTGAAATTGTAAGGTCTAAATTAGTGGTTTGAATTTGGTGGGAAGCGTGAAGGGAGAAATCCCGTTTCTTTTTGCTCGTTACCCTGTAGAGCCCCAGCTTCTGAATCCTCAGTCCTATTGTGTAAATTGTACTAAGTGCCTGTTAGGCACCGTGAATATGGGGGGTGCTTTTTAACATGTCATCTAGTTGTGCACCAGACATTTCTCCAGACTCGTTGACTTGACCCTTTCTCGCTATCCAGTGGAATCAGTTAAGCTCCACTTACAGAAGACTTGTAAATGCCGAAGATACTTTCTATCCCTTTTGTCCCTCTGTAGTGATAATAATTTTGGAAGATTTTTTTTTTATAAATAAATATTTCGTGTGTGTACCGTCAAACTGGCTCTGACTGGTACAAAAGATTGTCCCTCCTTCTCCAGCAGAGAATCTGGTGGTTTCAAACCGCCTATATCTGGGATTGCAATGCAGCTTCTTGCCACTAGGCCACCAGAGCTCCCTTGGAAGCTTTTTCTTAATATTTTAGATTAGTGGTTTTCAAATTTTCAGTTAAAAGAACTTAAAAATATTCCAAAAAATTACTCATATTCTAGGAATAGTACCTGTACAGCCAACCAACCAAATATATTTTATGTTAAATTCTTTTAAAGTGTAACTTGTCCCAACCACCCCCTTCCCTTCTCAATCACTTATGTGGCTTTTCTACCTTGCAGTTGTTTTTCTATAAGCATCACTTTATTTTACATTTGTCTTTCATTATGTTACAGACTTCTTGAAGCAGCTGTCTTCATCCTTGTCATCTGTGCTACCTGTTTAATCTTTTGTGATTTCTCCAAATAAGAGGCACACTTACTAGCAAAATATTGCTATATAACCCTTTAGCTTCCCATTAATCACAGCAACCTTTTTTAAAAAAACAAAACAAAAACTTCCTGATACGCTTCTAGACTTTAAAATTCTGAGCAGCAAAGTATATACTAGTTTGGCAATTGTGAGTCAGTAGCATGATTTTGGGGTATGATTTTAGCTTTTTCAAAACTGATGTAAGATCCTAAATAAACTAAGTAAGGAATATTAAGGATGGTGGTAATGAAAATATTAGGGCTTAGAATATCGTTAATAAAACCAGGTAAAATTATTAAACATACTAAGTGTTGTTATCTGCCATTCTAACTGATCCTTGTTTTTTGTTTTGTTAGCATAAAGAAACCACCAGGAAAGTTGAAGGAAGGTATGAGCTATTCTAGGTAATTTTCCCCGTAAGTGTCAAGAGCATTTGCAGAGCTCTCCAGGCCCATCTTACTGGTCCTTCAAGGAGACCACGAGCAGAGACTTGGCTGCTGCTTATATTCCTGGCCAAAATTGCAACCAAGTTGGCGGATACCGTTACTAGTTACTGTAAAGTGCGAGCCGACCAATAGCTATCCCTCCAGTGGGTTTTCAGAGATAGTAAATCATGTGGGAAGAGACTGCTCATCTTTCTCCCTCACATTCATTACCACAAAGCCATGGAGCTCTCTAATTTTCATTGTTTACTAGACAAAATGAATTCCAGTAAATACTGATTAGAAAATGTAACTTAAATTTTGTAGGTAATCCACAAAAGAAAAATGAAGGCCATGAAAAAAGAAGTGACTCCAAGAAATCTAAAGTGCAAAAACTACAGTCTGTTGGGTAATAAAAATGAATGTTTTGTTCATGTAGCCCTCTCCATTGTTTTACCCATGCATGTACAAAGTTTATGGATCTCTATTATATTTGTAGCTGCAAAAGTACTTTAGGAGGGTAAGCCTATACCAGCCTCATTCATTTGATCTTTTTTATTGACTGCTAGGAAGAATAAAAGATATGTGGCTTTAAGGCTCAAAGACCAAGACTTGAAAGATTCAAGACAAGCAGCAGCTAAAGCCTTCATACAGAATTCTTTATATGGTCCAGGAACCAACAGAACGACTGGTAATTTCCTTATGTACTGTTTTCTCACTTTTTACTTACTATAAAAGAAGACAAGTAAATAGAAATAATTATCTTTTCTAGTAAATAAGTTCCTGTCTCTTGCCAATAAGAGGTTACCGGTGAAGAAGGCTGCAGCCCAGTTCTTGAATAATACTTGGGGTAAGATCCAGCTTTTGTTTTCTTACCATTTTCAATATTGCATGGTTTTTAAGATGATAGAATGCTCAGATAATTGTGAGGTACCATACTTTTTCCTTCTCAATGTAACCTTTCAAAAACAGGTCATTGTAGTATTTGTGCATCTCCAATTAACAGGTCTTAATTTTTTGTTAATAAAAGGCCTGATTGTAGTAATAGCAGTTTTGTAAGCTAGAGGATTTTTTTTGAAAGTGAAAAGTAAAGTAGATTAGAAAGTATATCCTAAAAAGGGGACAGACTATCCAGTTTGGTCAGGAAATGTGGAGGAGACAGCATGCCAGCAAGGGGAGCTCTTGTTTGTGGCTTCCTTGTCCATGCAGCCCTGGCCTTTGAAGAAACATTTGCAAGTATTGATTCCCTGGAAATTTTATATATTCTAATATTCTGTATAACCTTCTATTTTAGGAGCTCAGAGAAAACAAAATGCCAAGAGGTTTAAAAGACGGTGGATGTTCAGAAAGAAAATGTCTGGGAAAGGAAATCGAAGCTGAATTAGCGATCAGGGTGGCCCACCAATGGCTCCACAGAAGAGAGATGGACGGGCAGTCTCCCAGTGCTCCTGACAGCTTGGAAACCCCTGATGGAGAGACAGCTGGGAGTGGATTCTGACTTAAAAAGCAATGTCTTGTTTTTACTGGTTCACTAGGATTTTGTTAATTTAGAGAAAACTTTTTCTTAGAGGGAAAAATATAATAAACTGTAATTTTAAAGGTCATTAGTCTTTGAGTGTCTTAAAAGAGCTGTTTAAAAGGTACTGCATTATTCTTTCTCCTTAGAATGTTTATCCCTTTAATAGAATACAAGCATTACCCACAATAGGCACAGCCCTGTCCCTCTGTATCACCTGTGGCTGGAATGGAGAACTGAGAATGGATCTCAAGAAGTCTTCCAGTTCCTGTGCTCTGAGGTCCTGTTACTTTGTTTCACAGAATATGGTTATCAGTATTCTCATGGAATGGTAAAAATTTTAAACAAGTACTAACAGTAACTACAGACATACTCATTTTAGAGAAGGTTCACACTTCAGTGTAGACATGTCAGCCAACTTCCCCATCACCAAATCAAAAGATGCAGTTACCTACCTTGTTGGACAGATTATAATTTTACTGTTAATGAATCTGGAGGTTGGATTGATGGGCATGTCTCACATGCTCTATTATGATTATAAGGAGAAACACATTCATCTTACCATCCTATCACGTTTGATGTTAAGCTGTGGAAGCTAGTAAACAGAAGGCAGGCAGTCGTGTTGTAGGGCTCAAACTCACAGTGGAAACTACCAATTTTAACTGCTCACATTTTAAATAATAGGAAGCAAGTAGCTAATGTATAAATGCAATTGACAATAGAATCTGTAGAATTAAATTTTTAATGGCTGGTTAATTATATCACTACATTTTTATTGCAATATAGTACTCATTTAAGCACTTAAAAATGGAAGGTGTACAAAGATTAAATTAAGACACGGTAAATTGACTAAATATTTGGTTTTTATATAAATAAAGGTCATAACCACACTGTTGACATGTAATACTGTTATAATACAACAGTTAAACTTGTGAGTCTACAACAGAAGTCAGCTGTAGTTAAACAGGAAACAAAGTTGAAAAAGACCATGTTAAAACAAAACTACTGGGACTAACAGGTCGGGATTGTAAGTAGCAACAAACATATTCACTCAGCTCCTGAGTATTTCAAGTTTTACAGTACACATTAAAAATGATTTCTTCCATCAACACTATAAATTCAAACTGTCAGATGTTTATGCATTTTGCAAGTTACACTGATTGATGCCGATATGGGAGTGGGGTTGGAACATCTCCCAATTTGAAATTTACATCACTCACATGCTAACACAAACACAACTTGTTCCATTTCCACACCCCTTGTTCCCCCCACAAAGAAGGCAGGATTTTTTGGTTTCTTTTAGGTAATTGTTTTAAAGGATTTGTGATGATCAATTTGAACGTCTGAAATTCAGTAATATTAAACTCTTAGACAACTAAGAGGTTAAAGATGGAAAATAATTTCTCCTAACACTAAGTTAGAAAATCATTCGCATCATGCTGTAAACTAGGAAGCAATGTAAAGCGACAAAAAACCTGTCCCCAGTACATAATTAAAAAATCTAAATTTCAAATCAGCAGAGCTGGTCTACTTTCAATGTTGACTATATGCCACAATATAAGATGGAGCTCTTTAAATGCATAGCTAATGTAGGTAGTCTTCCACTGTGGCAAATGCACAGGATCCAATTCCTGATCGAGCCATCAGTCCTAGACACTGTGTGGCCTGTCCCATTGCGAGGGCAAGTGGAGGTTGCTTTGGCAAATTGTGGGTTTCTGAGGAGGGGGAAAAACAAAAGGGAAATCAGTAACATTTTTAAATGTCAGATATCAAAACCTTAACACACTTTTTACTTCTGTACAAACTATGAAGGGTATGTGACTTTACCATGACCAGACAGTGGAGTCTGGTGGACATCCTTCAAGTTTTCTGTTTGCTGTCAAAAATTACCCTTTAACTGGGGAAGAATTCTCTTTCAATTCTAGTTCAAACAATTAAAAAACTGCCCATTATAACAGGACCCTTTAAATGAGATATGTCAGGTAGCAGTGGTACAAATGTAGTACTACCAAATTTGTTCTTTGCCATAGGACAAAGTGAAAAGTCTCAGAAGCTGTGTTATCTCTACTCTGAAGAAAACAGAACCTTTTAATATAGATTATTTAAATTACTAATCAGTCCTTTAGCAGCCCAGCTGATTTAACAAAGGGCAAAATATTAGTACATGGTGAGTTAAGACACCATACAGTTTTATTCCACTCCTAGTTCTGAGGATGCAATTTGGTGGTGGGAAAAAGAAAAATTTTTGCAAAGAATTAAAAATAGAGAAAGTTCAAGTTTTAAAGATACAAAAGAAGCAAAGTATGTTAAGAAAATAGTCAAGAAAAGGCACCGAAAAATTACTGTTGTGTAGCAAGGCTTTACGTTTAAGCTAAATATTGATGAAAAAACGTCCCCCCCCCATTCTAACCATGACTGTACAGTTTAATTCAGATTTAACTTGTATCAATCTAAGTTTTGCGACAACAATCAGTAGGATAGAATAAATATTTAAAAGAAATTTTTGTCTAGGGTGAAGAACATTTCCTGGATAAACAATAAAGTTGGTTTGATACTTACCTTTTTGTGTGCTGCCCTAGGACCAGCCCTGCACAAATAGTCAACAAACTATACCAATGAGGTGAACTGTAATCCAGGCTTTCCTATTAAGAGGATCTGTGGGAACTGTCCCCCCAAAATACAATTTAGATATAACGCTACAAGATGCAAACTATGTCCTGATCCCCCATGACATGATAACCTGGACAGCTCTAAGAGGTTTAAAGGGAAAGTCAATAGCCTTAATTGCCAGTTAGGGGAATTTCCCTAGGGTGTGGCCTGTAAACCTATTGTCCCACAAGAGATAAAAGGGAAGGAAATCTGGCAGAGAGGCAGAAAGATGCAGAAACAGGGCTCCTCCCCAGAATTAACAAAATACCCCTCCTAGAACCAGTACACAGAATTTCAACTTCTAGCTTTCTAGACTGTGAGATAACAGATTTGTTCATTTTTGCCATCCACTTGTGCGACCGCTTTTGTGGCAGCACCAGAATTTAAGCAGCCAGCTCCAGACTAAGAAAAACAGGATGAGTAGCAGAAAGAAGAGGCAAGGAACTTCCTAAAGGAGCAGCAAACTGGGTGATGGACTATAATATAGGGAGGTGACAGGCCCAGAAGGAGCCTAGCAACAGAGCTGATAGTGGTAGTGAAGACAAGAGTAGTCTGGGAGAGAAACTGCATGCAAGACTCTGCCTACTTGCTTCCTGACTCTTCTTCCTGAGTTGTGACCTGTTTTTCCTGATCCCTAGTTGTACCCTGTTCCTAAGAAATTGCTTAACTATTACATATTTGAGTCTTGTGCGGCCATGGCAATGGAATAGTAAACCCATTAAAAAAAATGATAGACCCATGGGAGGGAGACTCACTATCAAAACTGGTTAAAAGGTTGAAGTGTAGGTAAGATGAACCTCCACCTCATCTGGATCAGCCTAGGACTGATCTTGTTTTTTCCCTCCTAAATCTCTGGCTGCTCTTGATCTTGGTCACTAGCCTCTTCCAGTTAGATTCGGGTGCAGTAACTACTCTCATCTGAATTTTACCACAGCTTTAATATTTTTCAGCATATTTAAGATTATATACTTTAAGGGTCGCTAAACGACTCGATGACACATAACAACAACAACATACTTTAAGCATTATTGTAGATGAATTTACACCTACAGAATATATCAGTTTACATAAGTATTAATAAGTAAATGCATAAGGATTAACCAGCTTTAATAAGCCTAGAACTAATTTTTCAGATATTTTAAAATTTAAATATTACAATCGTATCCATGTAATAACATTAGTGTATCAGACTGTAACTTCCACTTTAATATTCACATATTCAAATTTCCTTGAAATTAACCCAAGAAATAAAAAATATGATCTTAAGAAAATCTGTTAACCATGCCACCCAAAGGTAATAAAGGAGGTCAGAATTGCTTCCACTGTGGAAAGCTGGGCCACTTCAGGAGACAGTGTCACAAACGAGAGCCATAGATAGGCAAGGGAGTAGAGAGGAAGCTCCCACTCACTTGCATTAAGTGTGGATCTGAAGGACACATGGCCAAGGGTGGCCCACATTAGGTCCTCCTGGCTGAGAGGACTGACAGGCCCCAGCTCCCAGCTGGAAACAAAGGAGGACGCGTCAATGATTCAGATCCTCCAAGAAGAGCCGTGGGTGAGCATTAACATTACTGGTAAGTATATTCATTTTCTCCTGAACACAAGAGCCTATGATTTGGTCCTAAAAGCCTTTTGAGGTCCCAGCTCTTCTCACTATTTCGTAGTTGTTGGAATTGATGGAAAACCTCATAAGCAGTTCCTTACTTCACCTCTGCCTTGCATGCGGACTTCCGAGCTGTAAAACAACCCAGTAGCAGAAGGAATTTGGTCCAGGACTTAAGAACAATAAATGACATAGTTGAGCCTCTACATCTTGTGGTTCCTAACCTTTATACTATAACAGACAAAGTGCTAGACAATAAGCTTTTTATTTTAAGAACTACTGTAACTTGATTTGTGCCACTGTTAGAACCTTTACTTGGTATATTATTGGTTTTAATTTTTGACTCATGTACATTTAACTTGTTAGTTAAAATTGTATTTTCTAGGCTGCAACAGTTCCATGATGCATCTTCAAGGATATGAACATGTATGGCTAAGCACAAATGGTAACAGTGCATCTAAATTCCAAAATCAATCTCCACAATAGTCAACGTGTTTCCTATTGCCAAAGGGGCCCTTTAGAGTAGTAAGAGAAGATCTTCACCCTGAAACCTACAGTGTCCCTTTTCAGCAGGAAGTAGCTAACAGAATACACCATCCCCTTTTCCTTATG